CTTAAGTGATTCTAATCAAATCCTAAATATATCTAATTTAATCCTAATATAATCTTAAATAAATCCTATTAAAGTTCTAAATAAATTATAATCAAATCTTAATAAAATCTTAATTAAATTTTAATTAAAATTTCTTAATAAATCCTAATCAATTTTTAATCACATCTTAAATACTAAACAAATCCTTAATCAATCTTATAACAGATTAAAATTTTAATAACTAATAATTTAAATATATATTTTAACTCAAAAATTATACATCTCAAAATTATTTAGTTTACAATAAAAAAAAGATGAAGAAGATTAAACTTATCAAATAGAAGACAAATGCAATAATCTGCTTAGATGTCAGTCAGTGTCATTTTCCAACTTTAATGCTAATTTCTTATTGCCAATATCTCTTGATTTCACTATCCAATGGTTTTCAAACTTCACACAATTTTTGAAAATGAAGTCTAATAAAAATATTATTCCAATCTAGAAAATATTATATTGCAAAATTTTAGAGGCCCTTTCTAGTCCTCTAAATTCTAATTCTTAATATTCTAATATTTTAAATTTTAATTATCTTCAAATAAATTATTTGATCAACGTCAAACTTACAACTCATTTAAGTCAACTACGATCATACAATCACAATATTTCACTTGTAGATCATCTACCAATTTTACAAAATTTTCCAAAGTATAATCTCTTTATATTTTTAAAAAATCCAAAGTCATTCTAAAACAACTTTATCTTTACAAAGTTTTTTGTGAATCATCGAATTGACTCACATGGATATTTATTGTAAAAAATACACTTATTATGCTTAAAAATATAGATTTTGTGAATTAATAGTAGAATTTTTAGAAAAAAATAGAAAATAGATTATTCATAGCACATATGCAGCCTAAGATAGAATTTATTAAGACAAAATTCCATGATGAATAGGTTTTTTTGTAATTAACATTAGATGATGGCTAATGGAAATAGCCCTCATTTTTAAATATATATATATATATATATATATATATATATATATAATATAAAATAAAAATATCAAAAGAATAGAAAAAAATAGAGAATAGAAGAAAAGAGGGAAAAAAATAGAAGAATAAAAAAAAGATAGAAGAAAAGAAAAAAATAAATAAATAAAAAGAAAAGAAGAAATAAAATAAAATAAAATAAAATAAATTTAAAATAAATTTAAAAGGTGATTGAGAAGGCAAGAGGCTATCCTTGAATGGTGGCAGTCTCTTTGTCGATAGGGTCCGACCGCCGGATCCTTCACTCTCTTATTTTTTTGGTTTTTTTTGTGCAAAGAGAAGCTCAACATCAATCGTGATTGTGGTCGTGAATCTCTATCTCTTCTTTTATAGTCCAAGCAGCTCATAGGTCAAGTTTTTTATTGTAGCATCAAGGATTGTATAGCGATGGATTGTGCCTTGTTGAGCAAAGCTGCATTTGAAAAATAGAAGCAATAGTACTAAACTTTGGACTCTGTCAGTTATAAGCTCTATTGATTGTTTTCTTTTGTGTATGTGATTGAACTCGTCTCCAACAAAGGCAGCTAAAAGTGGATCATTTTTTTGTTTCATGTTCAAGTACATTTGTATTTTTAATAATTTGTGTCTTTAATAGAAGCTTTGAAGGTGGAGTAGCTATTGCATGTGGTGGTGTACTAGTGGTGGGCTGCTAGTGGTATTTTCTCTCATTGACGACTATGTAGTAGAAGCGTTGAATCTGGTTTTTATGAACTCTAGGCACTCTAGATCGGTTTGTTTGTATTCTTGAGTGATATGCTATAATGTGTGCTCTCTTGCAAAAATGGTGTTATTTGCTATGGTGCATGAGTGGATTGAAAGAAGGTTGCTCTTGCATGGTGTGTGAGGGATCACCTAGCACAATTCTTCATTTTTTAAGATGTCTTCTTTGAGCTTGCTTGAGCAATCATTGGTGGAATTATTGTCAATGTCTAGAATAAGTACGGCAATGTAATAGCAACAAAAATGTATGGCCAAGAGCTCCAAAAATTAGAAAGATCTAAAAGGTTGTTGTTGTTGATGGTGTTATGTTGTAATACAACTATATGGTGAAAATATATAAAAAATTATGATAATAATAATAATTAATATCTAATCATCTTAGTTCAATAATAATTCAAGATTTTAAACATAGTTTTCATAAAATCTTCTTAGTTTATTTTCTTATCTTAATAGCTAATAGACTAAAAGTTGGTTAGTTGTCTTTACCTTCTGGGCTATAGAAACTCTTTTATTGCTTTAAAAAGGCCATAAATTAATACAATCAGATTAAAAAAAGATAAATAATTAGCATGATTGATACTAAGATTAAGTTAAGGATAGGATTGGCTTAAAAAATTCCTAGGATAAGTTAGATTCATATCTAAAGATCGACTATTTGTGGGACATGGTCAAAATCAGACCTCTAGCTACAAAAACAATTGCCTATGGCAAAATAGAGGAGCATTTGAAGATTGGCAATTAAAATTTTAGAGCTAGCTTCAAGTTAATTTTAAAGGGTTTGGAATGACTTTGTAATTATTATTCAAAATTGGGGTTTGTATTAGTGATTTGGAAATTATGCAATTTAATTAGGGCTAGTACTCTAAGCTAGTTTGTGCAATTGGTGCCACATTTATAATTCAAAATTTGGTAATATTTAGTGGATTGGGTGTGCTAAGTTTATATTAAATTTTGTTTTAATCTAAGGATGTAATTGAGAGATATCTAGGTTTTAATACAAGAGAGTATTAAAAGTTGGCAATTTGAGATTTAGTAGGGTTTCTATAATATTTGAAGATCTACAAACTGAATCAAGATGAAATTTAGCATAGTAATAAAACACATTAATATCAAGCTATATGCCAATTTTGAGTTGAAGTTAATAATTAAAAAAGGAGAGATTACTATTGGAACATTTGCATCAAACTTCAAGTTGGCGGCCAAGTAACATTAGTGCAATTTTTGGGCTTTTTCTCACGATCTGTACGTTGGATTGAATTAAAAAAAAATTAGAGTATATAAAAAGCTTATAGTGGCATTTGTATGCAAAATTTTGTACTAAAAAATGATCAAATTAGGAATTATAACTCACCAAAGCTCATTGACTAAGATTAGGGCTTGTAAGGAGAAATCAAAATTGCCTAATTTTGAAAGTAACAAGGTAATTGGGATTTGTGTATAGTTGAGGTTACTAAGAAGAATATTTTTGAGCACTTTATACTAGGTTTAGGCACTTTTAAATTAAAATTTGAATTCCATTCTTCTTATATGGATGAAATCTACTAAGGTTTCTTGGATATTTGTAAAGCTCAACTTCACCTTCTATAGCCAAGTGCCTAATGCATTCTCAAATAAAAAAATATGTATTACAACAACGTGATCTAAAATTAATTCATTTGTTATGATCTAGAATAAACTTCCAATTAATAGAGGTTTATTTTAGCTCACATCTTCACAAGGTCATTAAAAACTTAAATTATTCAAAATTAACACTTAAATATTTTTGTTCTACTTTCCTCTCAAATTATACTCTTTGATTTGCAACATAATTCCAAAATTGCCATAGGTGCGCAATTTTGAATCTTAAGGTCTAATCTCAACTTTGGTTTACAACCGGTCCTCTCTGAGTATCAATTCTTTATTTCTTAAGGTAATTTTTGCTACAAACTACTCTTAATTTTTTTCTAAGAATATAAAACTAAAATTATAAAAAAAATTATATAAAAAAAACATGGAAGATAAATTCAAAAAATATAAAATAGAATAAATATAAAAATATTATAAATAATTTAAATAAGAAAATACAAAGAATTAGTTCAAATGGCAATATTAATGAAATTAATAATATATGTATATATATTGCACTATTATTCTTATATTAGTTATAAAGTGTGTGAACTATTTAACAATATCATTTTAAACATTACTATAGGTATGTATCAAACATAACAACATTAACAAACTAGCAAATTGATATCCAACAAAGAAAAGAAAAAATGATCTAAAAATATTTTTATAGAATTACAATTAATCTTAAAAATCCAACAACCTTACCATTAAATAAACATTTCAACCTTATCACAAACTCAATATCCCAAAACATCAATAACCAACTTAAAATGACCAACTATACCCATATACTCATCATACCACTACACTCTGGCTATTGCAATTCATTAACCAACATCACAACCCCTAAACATTATTTATGTATTACTATTATTTATTTATTTATTTATTTATTTAGGTAACTTTATAATTTAATTGTAATCAAACACATTACCAATCCTTCCTCACTAAAAGAACAATGGTTTCTTTGAACCTAACAGCAAGAAAGATTAACTCACCCCTAAATATAACAAGGGACTCAGGACAACTAAGGGCAGTTATTTGCTATATAAATTTATATATCCGCAAGGCCAAGGTGGCCGTCAAACCTCAGGATTGGGTCGATGAGGGGGCGGAGTCGATGAGGCCAGGGTGTCACGGCGTCAAGGCGATGGAGGATACGGAGCTGGAGGAAGTAGGAGTCGCGGTGGTGGTAGTGTTAATTCTACCTCCTCGTCCTCGTCTACTTCTTAGTCAGTCCTCCTCGTCGTCTTCTTCTTCCTAGTCTTCCTCGTCGTCTTCTTCTTCCTAGTCTTCCTCGTCGTCCTCCAAGTGTGCGAGCCAGGTTGATGGAATCGATGCCTGACGCGGCCCCATCTGGGATCGCACCGGGTAGGAAGGAATCCGTTACATAAGCGGGGCGACATCGTTGGCTAAAGTCCCGAGGCTGCGCTCTGGGTTCTGCTGTCAGAGAGGATGCATTATTGGAGCCTATCTTTATGTCGCGCGCACCCCACCTGCCACAGCATCAGCATCATCATCATCCCCGCCTTCAAGCACCCATTATCCTCTTCTCACCCCCCCCCCCTTTGCCCCTTGCACGAATCGCTGTCAGAGGGCCCCTCCCGCAGATTTGGCCGCTTTCTGCAACAAAAAACACTGCCCGTCGTTGGATTTCCTGACAAGCGCAGACCCCCTGAGCGAGCTATTTCACCACTTGGCAGCCTTACTTGAGACTTCAGATTTTTCCTCCCTGGTCTTGGTAGTCTGGAAGTAATAGCTGCAGCTGCGACTGTCGTGCTCTGGGACAATGAGGAATTGGCATGTTCGGGATGTTTGTGGGTGCTTGTTGTTGCTGCTTGTGACGACTGGTGAGATATTCTCGGATGTCTACTTGGGGGAAAGGAATTGCGGGGCTAGTTAGTGGCTGATTTCTTGCTCTCCAATGAACAAGCTGGAAATGTTTCGAAGCTGTCGGGTTCGTATCTTTATGTGACGTATGTGTCGTCGCTGAACAATCTGGGGTGATTTGTGTTTCATGCCTTATTGCAGCACTTGAAGTCGTGTCGTGAATTCTCAGCTGCTTGTTAATCAGATATCTCTTCCGTAGCTTGCTCTTCACCTGCTGAACTTGGTTGTCACAGCTATGCATGAACGTAAAGCTCACATGTCACGGGCCTTCCAACAACGTTGGAGTGAGTGAGTGTGTGTCTGTGTCCGTCCGTGGCTGGAGTAAAATCAGCATTGCTGTGGTCCTAGCTTTAGAACCTATAGCGGTAGTTGTACAGTCGTTTCTGGCGAGAGAGTCCAGTGTGATAGAATTTTTAATTGATATTTTCATAGAAAATTGCTTTCTTCGGAGTTTAAATGAATGGCTACGAATTTGGGACACGGATTGACTTGAAGACGTTAAACCAGGACCCTTTCGGGTTTTTTCTGCTAGTCATCGACCGTGATGGACACCAAACACTCAGTTTTGATGATTGCGTACAAGCAAAGTCATCAGTACGTACAGTGAGAACTGCTTCTAAGATTAAATTTCTGAAATGTGCAGAAGCAGTACGAAAATGGGCCTTCGTTCAGGAACTAAGCAGTGAAGTTCTGTCAAACAAGGTGAAGTACATATCTGGCTCATCCCAAAGATCGAAAGCCTGCATAGCTGCCTCAAGTTCTTCTTTCTTGCATTTCCGCATGAACCTATTGAAGTAGCTCCTAATTGGCGTTGCAAATGGGCTCGCAGATAGTGACTACCCAAGACCCTGCCATCCACCAGGTTGCTAGAAGGTTGCTAGAACCTCGAATCCCATCTCGTAAGTACCCCCCTTTTTTTGAAACTCACTCGCAAAAGGCTAGTAGAAACAGAACACTCAATATGGAGACCTCTCGACATCTCTAATTCACTTAGAAACAGTGAAGTTTTTTAGACATATGGCACACAGAATGTTCTCAATGAGTCCAATTCTCCCTCCGTTTTGCAGTGTGTCAAGGCCAGCAAGAGTGCGAGGAGGGAGTTGGGGTGACATGTATGTATGGCAACGTGGTAGCTTGCAGCTGTGAATACATCGCTGTCTGCCATCCGTTCATCAAGAGCTGCAGTCGCTTTAACGCCACTCACACAGAGTCCTGCGGCTTCTAACATTCGCTGAATGGAGTGGTGCGCGCAGCTGTGACTCTCGTCCGCAGTATTCTCCAAATACATGCACTTGGATGTTTTGTACCATCAATAAACTTGTATATAAGGACAGTAGATTTGCGCAATGCTGCAAGATAGTAGACAGAGAGTTTCCTGTTTTGAGCGTGGGCACACATCTCGCAGCTTAGGTGCAACCGCTATGGTGGAGACTTCAATATTTTCTATTTTTAAACGCTTCTACCTTTCCTTTCCCTCCTTGTAATGTACACATCTTGCTACTAAACAAGAAGTCATTGCAAACTCGTTGCAAAAACATGTCTACAAGTAAAATTCAAGCTCGACTATTACACACTCTCCTTCGTCATATTCTGGTCTGCCCTAGATATGTGGTTGTGCTTAAGTTCGTTGGCAAATTGTCCCCTACGGTACAGCACTAAGTCACAATCTATTAATAATTAGACGTTGGGGTAACAACTTGAGATATACTTATGATGATATTCAGTGTGCCGCACTTGCAAACTTCACTCCTTTGATTACTGGCAACGAAGACCAGTTCAAATTGTGTAAGACTTAAATGTCTGAACATCTTACATTCTCAAAAATGGGAGACGTTAAATGTTATACAACGAAAAAACTGTTCTGTTCGTCGTGCACCTAATGTTTATAACTCATTGTACCAAAATTTCTGAAGTCGAATACCAAGGGCGTTTTGATTCTTGAGACTGGTACTCGAGGCATTGGTCACCAACCCCCCAGGAGTAAGACCATAAACGAATTAAAAACTAAAGCCGTATAGCTTCTGGTATTAGGTAACGACGAGGGGATGCCAACACTTTTGCCAAGTGTCGCTATATTCATTGAAGTGATGATGACTTCTTCAATCGCAGATGCAGAACAAGTGGAGCCATTAAACTGAGTCATGTTTGAATCTTGAAACTTCTCAACGCATTTTTTTAATTGATCATTGCAGGTTCGATTCACATAATTTTCTGATAAAAATCAAGCAACAAGGTATAAGTTTTTTGATGAAGGAAAAATGCGTAGGAAGGATTGATGGTTAAATCTCGTGACAACCAGTAGAGCCCCTTGTAACTTTTCACTGCACGACTGGCCCTCACTTTAATTGATATATTTAGTGGTTCGGTTAACATTCCGCTGTTTAACATCATGAAGATTTGAAAGTCAATAAACAACACCACACTTACCAAGATTCGGTCCGATGCAAATATCGTGACTCTTACAGCAGGAGTCGATACCATCGCAAGGTACCTCGCTCTCACAGCCTGTGTATCCAATGCCACAGTACTTTCCGTACCGCAATTTGATTGGATCTGCACTTGCATGACGAGCAAAGAATGTCACTACACCCTTCTTGCTCACATTTTGAAGCTCAAGAGTTGCACCTGTTTGTCATCTTGAAATAGAATGTATTTGGTTTGGTATCCGAAGATGTACAGGAACATATTAATTACCCTGACAATGCCGAGACTCGCATTCACGACTGCAACCCTGCAAAACCTCCACCAAGGAATCAAAAGCATATTCCAAACTCCAAGAAATTATGGATAATCGACTGCCACTGTCACAGAGCGTATCTTCAAATATTAAAGCCTTGCATCCTCGCACCTGTGATTGCACCCTTGCATCCACTCACTTGACCCCAGAAGCTTTAAAAACTACGACCTACAAAAGTTGTCACCACATCACTCCAAGATCGAGCGACATTCGGAAGCGAAACTTGGCAACAATAACTACATCAAAACAACGACACAACCAGTACAAGAACCCGAGCATCTTGCCACATGTGCATAGTGACTTCACACTCTTTCACTTAGCCACCACTCAATCTTAAGCAAGTTGAAAGGTGAACTGCAGACCTTCGCAAAGGCAGAACTCCACGCAACTTCCAGCAAGAAACCAAGAAAGTGATACGATTATTGCCAATCATGGCTGTTATCACACACTTGACCATCCATAAACACGCCAAACCTCAGCAAAGTTAACACAACCTTACTCATGAACATTGCCAGACATACCAACGAAAATCAACACATGCAATCAGCCAAGCGTATTTCAGAAATCCTGGTGGAGGAGACAGCATCCACTTTTAACCAGCTGACCTTGAAAATAGTCCCGTTAACAACGAGAGAAAGCGCAGGACTCAATAGCTCTAACAACAGCAACATCACGATGGTTCCAGCGTGCGCCAATATGCGCGGGCAGCGTCGTCGCTGCAGAGTCGCCATCCCTGCTGCAGTGGAGGGATTCTGAGCTCCAGGCGACGACGACGCAGGGGTGGATTCAGCGTGGTTGTCGAGACGACCTCAGAGAACCGATACAAGCTGGGCATGGCTGCAGGAAGCAGGCATTGACGCCATCGATGCAAGATTATCGAAAGTCATGGTGAGGAGTGATGGTGACGCAGATATTGAACGGGGCGCCATCACCAGCCTGGACGTACCCTGCGCTGTGCTGTGCCCCGCAGACAGACTACGCGCCTTCGCTCTGCCGCTCTACGCTCCCTGTTCAATTTGTCGTATGTTTATACTGGTATAATACGAGTATGAATATCCATGTACGTGACAACGACCTGACATGTTTGTTTCGTATTGCCGTTTGTGTTTTAAATCAACTTTTACAAAAACTCTTTCAAATCTTTGGCTTTGTTAAAATAATTCAATAGTGAATTTAAGTGCTAGAGGGTTAAAGGACTTGATTTCATTGCTTAAAAGGAAAATTAAAGATTGGAATATTTAAAAATGTGCAAGTGATCTCTATGCTGTTGAGGCTTAATTAACTTATTGAGTTGAGGTCCATTGTACAAATCTCATCAATGATTGCATGGTTTTACTTGTATCTATCTATCTATGTATATATTTTTCGAAATGATGTCATTTAGCTATTTATATATGATTAAATTTTATAACAAATAATAAATGGATCTTTCAATGAGAATTTCCATGCATGCAACTACTTGTAGTTTGTGCTAAGCACATGATTTATTTTGTTTTCTATTTTTATTATTTATTTATTTACTATTATTAATTTTGTGAACGTCGATTATTTAGTAATAATACTAAATTATTTGTATTAAAAAATTCTCCAAGTTATGCATGATTTGTGACATATGTATGAAAGAGACATAACTACATACCATGATTTTGTTACATAATATTTAGTATGGCTAGTTAAATTATTCATGAATATATACATATATATATATATATATATATTAAAAATTCTTGCAATGTTATTTTGAGTCACCAAACCAAAAATGTAATTGACATAAACATCATTGTCTCTTTGTTTTCATTGTTGTAAAATAAAAGAAAAGGAAATTATTATAAAATAATAATATGAAATGATTTGTGGACAAATATTTCTTTATAAATCTAATAAATTTGGTTAATTGTTAAATAGACCTAGATATTTACTGAATTGACCCACCTATCAAAACCATCTTAGATTCCCATTATTTCCCATTCCCTATCCAAACCACTTGTTCTTTGTTCCCATTCTTAGCCTCTATCTTCCATCATGACTTCCCTCCATTGCCATTTATGCATAATACAAAAATAAATAAAAACAAATTCCACAGTTACAAATATTTCTTGTAATAAATAAAGATATAAAATAAAATTTTATTTTTTAAATAATTGAGTAAAGTAAATTTATTATTAGTTACTCAAAAGTTCTAACCATGATGAAGTATAAAATCATGGTGATGTTTATGTAGTATGGAGGTTAAATTTTTATCATTTTATTAAAAGAATAAAAATATTAAATAATTTTTAAAATTGAAATCAAATAAGAATAATACCAATGAAAATAACAATAATAATACTAATTCCAAATAAAATCTTTAGCATCTTTAGCAATACAACAAGGAGTGTTTAAAAATTTAGTAATATGTAGAAGTGATTTTTATTAGCAAGTATAAAAATACTTTTTAAAAATAGAATTTTTTTTTAAAATTTAAAATTTCACAATTATATTTATTTTTTATTACTATCATACATTTTTAGTTGATATTATTAATATTAATATATTTTTTCTTGAATAAATATTACTTTGATTGATTCATTGATTGATTATGTATGCATCAACCAACATAGACATATGACCATACTATTAAGAACAATCTTTTATAAGAAGAATTATAACTTTTATTATTGGTTTATTTTCTATGTACTTCTTCTTTTTAATGTGCCAAATTTCACAAGAAAATTATCCAATTTGTCTTCCAAAAATTATTATCACCCTCTTCTTAATTACAAATGGTTGTTTTGGGTTGGCTCAACTTCCACCATAGTTAGTTTTTTTTTTTTTTTTTTTTTTTCTTTTTCCTTTTCTATTCTGGTCATTTTTCTTATAAAATCATTTGTGTATATATATAGATACAAAATGTAGATTCTTGATTTTTATTTATATACACATTTGAAATTAATATATATATATATATATATATATATATATAGATATATACAATTTTTTTTAATAAGACATGTATCCAAAAGAAAAAAAATTATATTGAAAAAAATCCCAAAAAAACATGAAAGTATCACAAGTAAAAAGAGAGTAAAAAATCAAGCATAACAAGAATAAAATCTATAATATTAATTGCATTGAAGAAGAAGATGCTAGGTATTGATGCAAAGATATTTGTCTCCTTTGACAAACAAACCACAAAATAATGGTACATAATATAGAAAAATGACAAGGAGGTGGCTAAGATGGGAGATGGGGAGGTTGGGATGAGAGATGAGGGTTTCAAATGAGAACAAGGGACGAGAGGGTCTAATAAAATATAATAGAAAATTATAATAATAACAATATATAAAATTCATGTAATATTTTACTTACATTCTTTTACATAAATACATATAATTTGAATAATCTTACAATGTAATTCTATATAAAATTTAATATAAAAGCTTCCAACAAACACTCCTAAAATAATTCTTGATTTTTTATGAAATAAAGAATATTCAATTTTTATTTATAATTTTAAATAATTTAATTAGAGGATTCTTGATTTAATATTCTTTATTTTTATATCTACATATATCTATTGAATTGGAATAAAAAATTGTATCAAAAATAAGAATGGTTGTATTGTAGTTGTCTTTATTGTTTAGTTAAATTTATTTCTTTTTATTTAATAAACTTAAAAGTTTTTAAGGACTTGCAAGATTTAAAATTGAGGTGAGAGTAGAGTGCATATTATAGCTTATATTCTTTGTAATTGATATTCTAGATTGTTGCAAAAAATGTGTCACTATGCAATTTTTGTTACAACAATAAAAGAACTTTCTTCTAGTATTGTTATTTGACAATACTTCTATAGATGTGGTTACAAGATTACTTAAGATTTTTTAATCATTTTATATATAATTGTGATATTTTTTATTTAAAGAAAGAAATTAGTAGTATTTTAAAAATAACATCTATGGCATCTTATATTAAAAGAATAATAATAAGGTGTAATCATATTCAATAGTAGTAGATACTTTATGAAAATAGGGAAAAAAAAGAGGCTTTAAAATGAGATTAGTAAGAAATCATGTAATCAAAACCTTGAGACGTACATTTAAAGAATTTTTTTTATAAGTACATGTACAACAAAGAAAACAACTTCTTTCATAAAAGAATTTTTACCCTCAACTAAAATTTACTATAAAATAACAACCTTAAGCTTGTGATGATTAGAAAGTTGTAGTTTTTGGAAACATGAAAAAAATAAGTAGGTTTTACTCAAGTAAAAGGTTGTGATATTGGATCACTAATAGGCAAGTTGGTATAATACTACAAAAAGTTTCAAATAGTAAAATATAGTAGTGGTTCAATTATAATTTAGAGTAGTAAGATTTTATGATTTTTTATAGACATGGTTTTATTTACAAAAATACAAGGGAGCATTGATCTAAATTACTATAAGAACATTTTCAAAGAGTTTTTGTATTATATTATACAAAGATACAATTTAGATCCTTATAGTTTAGTTTTCCAACATGACAATGTTTAATAACATTTAGCCAAATCTATATAAGAGTGGTTTTAGTTGCAATATTTTTAACTTCTAGAATGAATAACTCAATTATTGAATCTAAATCTAATTGAGCTTTTATGGACACTTTCGTAATGTTGCTTAAATCATTTAAACAAAGCTCCAATATAAATGTTGTAATTGTAAGAGCAAATAGTTGAAGTATTCTGTATAACAAATATTGAGGAGTGTATGGACCTTCATAAAACCTTCATAAAACCTACCTAAGTGTTTTGCACAAGTTTTAAAAACTAAAAGATATTAGACCAATTTTTGAAGTTTCATTATTTTATTTATACAAAACTAAGTTTGTAGATTAGTTTTGTTTCATTGACTATAGACTTCCATGTAATAGTGCTTCTTCCTCTTCAATAATTTCCAAGGATATGTAAAATTATGTGTAATATAGTTCCTATTGTTTAGTTTTCATAACAATTTTTAAAGACCATTATAATTTTTTGTTCTTTGTGTTTACATGGACAATATCAATGTCTGCATGGTTCTTAGCTGCTGAAAAGTGATTGCCTTTAAGTAATGCACATCACTTTGTGGCAGAGAGAAGAGAGAAGAAGAAAAAAACTGATGTATATAATAACACTCGAATTTTCTTGAGATATCAAACCTCTGATATCAGAAATAGAACTTGGACATCAGTTTGTCACATCCTCTTCATCGGTAACCTCCTCTAGTCTGGATCAAACAACTAGTAGAATGTCTCATACTTGTCGAGGACAGGAACCAAACTGGAAAACCACGAAAATATTTTATTCTGCATGCGTCCCATCAGACAAAGAAACCTAAGAAGATGAAACTCACTTATTGATGGTTGTCGAAATCAATACAACCGGAAGCTTGGCCCTACAGCCATAGATACCTATAACCGTCATGTTGCTCCTAAGACCCAAAATTCTATAACCGTTCAGCTGGTCCTAAAATCAGCTTCATCCTATTGGCGCAATGGTAATACATTAACTATTCAGTTCATTATTAGAATTTATTTTTAACTTGTTATATGAAGTACAAATGATGTGAATGTAAATTGACGTTAAAATTAATAGGTTTCAATACAATGTTGAAAATATTTTTTTAATTTTAATACCTTATTTATATGTATTTTCGTCCATTTATCCATCCACATTATTATCTTTTAGATGTAGTAAATAAATGATTTAAAGTACAAGATAAGTACATCTTTTTCTCTTGAAATACATAAGCACATGTAATTTGAGATTAATATTTTTTGTATTGTTTCTTTGTACATTTGATTGCATACAGGGCGTTTAATAAATAGATGATTAGTTGAAATAAAAAAAACCTTGGTTAATAATATTATTGAAAAAACAAGTTGTTATGCAATATAATCTCAAAATCATAATATGTTA